CCAAACATTTAACTCAAATACCAGTTTTGACCGGATCAAAATATTTGAGTCAAGTCACTAACCGTTAGTGAATTTTATGTAATAATATAATATACAAAATTTGTTTTTGGGTGRTTTAATTAATAGTATTACTAACTAGTAACATTTAAACCGTTTACAAGCGAGAATGGCGTAGTACAAGGATCATCTATAAGCGTTACATTATTCCTCATCTCAATTAACGAAATGTCAACTCAAGTCCCTCCGCCCACGATGATCAAACTTTTCGCCGATGATGCACTGATATATTGTAAAGGAAAAAAACATGAATTCAATAAAAAATCAAATACAACTAACACTGGATAAGTTAAGTAAATGGAGCTTCGAAACAGGTTTCACTTTTTCTCCGAACAAGACCAAATGCATACTTTTCTCCCATCAAAGAAAAACAACCAAACAATTAAATTTGAAAAGACAACACTTGACTACTGCGACAATGTTAAAATTCTTGGGTTAACATTTGATAATAAACTCAACTGGTGCCAACACATCAAACAGTTAAGAATCCGTACGCTCAAATCAATTAAAATTATAAAAACATTAGCTCACACTGAATGGGGGATCTGATGATGACAGTCTAATTAAAATATATAAAACCTTAATTAGATCAAAAATTGATTACGGTTCAATAGTCTACAAAGCGGCTAACCATAGAACCATACAAATGCTAAATACAATACAAAATTTTGCCATTCGCTTATCTTTAGGTGCATTTAAAAGTAGCCCAGTCCCAAACGTATTGTGTATGGCTGGAGAACCTCCTCTTTCTTTAAGGAGAAAACAGCTCAAAACCAAGTAAATTCTAAAAATAGCCAAACACCAAGAGAATCCAGTGTACAAAAAAATCTTTAAAAAAAGGTCCCAGGCAAAACCAATAAATGCATCTTATCTCAGATCAATTTATGAAAGACAACAAGATTTCATTATTAAAAACGAAACCTTAATCAACAATACAATTCAAAGCATCATTATTAAACATACCCCCTTGGCGATTCAATAAAAGTATAATAGACCTTAATCTATCATTATACAACAAAAATACTAAGATAAGAATAATTATAAAGGTCTACATTACGAACTACTGCAATCGTACCCCGAACACACACAGATATATACCGACGCGTCGAAAATCGATCAGAAGTCGGGATTAGCCGTGAATATCTCATGACATAAACATACAATTAAAAACTAATGAGGTATGTAGTATTTGTACTGTAGAAGCCCTAGCGATACTTATAGCCATTTAAAGCATTCACTGTACTAACGATAAGAAATATCTATTAATGTCCGATTCTTTAAGTAACTTAATCAGCATATACAATTTAAATACGTMGCAACCAGTTATCTGCCATATAATTAATGAACTCTATGTACGTAAAAATAGTATATTATTCGCATGGATCCCGGGACACATCGGCATAAGAGGTAACGAAGAAGCTGATCTAAAAGCAAAAGAAACAACAGGTACTGCCGCTTTTGAAGTATGCTCCCTCATATTGGACAGAAGCTTGATAAACTCAACCAAATTCAAGTACATGGATGAATGGCCAAACCTTTGGTCTAAAAGTGATAACAATAAATTAAGGGGAATAAAACACTCGATACTACCATGGCCCAAATTATTTGAGATGTCCAGAAGAGACGAGGTATTTCTTGTCCGCCTACGAATAGGCCACACGCGCATGACACACGGATATCTCATGGCCAAAGAAGACCCTCCATCATGCCTGACGTGTGGAACAATCATCACAGTCAAGCATATACTTACAGAATGTCATATATTCAGTGACAGGCGCATTGAATTAAAACTACCCGATACACTTTACGAGATGCTATCACTCACTCCCGAGACGACCAATAAACTCCTCAATTTCGTCAACTCAACAGAACTGCGTCAACTGATTTAAATATTCTAAYTTAGATTAAAATGTAAATCTTTAATTATAAGTAATAAGTTGAAAGCAAATATGTAAGTAATTAATGTAAATTTAATATGTAACGCCGGCTAATAACCATGCAGTTGATGCCATAAACGATTAATAAAAAATAAAATAACATTTAAAACAAAAAACATTTATAATGAAATATCCTTAGAAATAAATGCTTGAAAGCATTTTAAAATATAACTAGTTTATTGTTATGTACCTACCATTAAAACATATTTATTTAAAACACTTTGAAATAAGGTARTTAATATTAGTGTAAAAATCTAACTTATCTATAAATTAGTATACAATATTCAAATATAATATGTTATATGTTATAGACTTGACAATCTTCAACTAATGATTGATAAATATATTGAAGAAAAACAGTTAACAAAATTAAAACATATTATTAATGGAGCACTTTGTTTAGCCAAATATCCAAAAACTGATAAGTAAGAATTTTAAATGGTATGTATATATCATATATCATATATTTTTTCAAACAACTTTGTGGCATAGGTTTAACCGTGTCAAAATTATTGAAAAATCTGGTAATGGATTTGTTGAAGTTTTATTTGTTGACAAAGCTGAATTTCTTAATATTAAAATTCATTTTTTGCTTACAATACATCCAGACCTAATCACTTACTTACCATTTCAAGTAAATATCAATAATATTTTAGTTAAATAAAATGTGATTCATATAGCAATAAATATTAAGACAATTATTATTCAAAAAGTAATAATTTTTTTGAAAATATTTTTTTATATAATTTCAAGTTGTAATAAAACATTTTTCTTATTTCAAAAAAAATATTTAAAAATAGTTTTCCTCATAATTTTTTTATGTTTTACTTTTACTTTTTGAATTGCAACATCCAGTTTTAATTTCTTTTTGAAAACAAAATATTTTCTGAGTATTTTTATTCATAAAAGTTTAAATATGATGAGTAGTTAATAACTTATACATTATAAGTATTTGAAGTTTTTGATGAGCGGAGTAGTAGACCATTTGGCACAGTATTCAAATAATTAAAAAATATTCTTCATTGCAATATGGAATTGTTCTGTCTTAATGATGTCATTCAAAAAAGCGATAAACATAAAAAATTATGAGGATAAAAATATAAAAAAATATTTATAAACATTATTTTTTAATGACTAAAAACTATGCAAAATAAATGTTTTCAGAAATATTTTTAATTTTTGAAATAATGAGTATTCAATGATCAAATCAGCCTATATATATAATGAACACAAACTATAATACTTAATATCATATTTAATTGTTAGGCGATTGAATGCAGTTTAAGTGGCGTTAACGATAAATTACCTACAAACAACGAGCTGGATGAACTAGTTGGCTATTTATTTGATATCATGCCAAATTCATTATATTTAAAAGTTAGCAAATATATATATTTTTCAATATTTATTTTAAATAATAATGTGTTATATGTTAGGTTATTAACACTATTTCATCAACAACATATACTGGCGGTAGTCACTATGAAGTGATGTTATATGATGCAGACATTACTGTTAATTTGGAGTTTCAAACAAAATTCAGTCAATACTGTGACGATTTCCAAATGTCTGAATTGTTAAATATTATAAACACTGAGTATAATAAAGATACTTCTATAGAAGATGATAAAAATATTCCATATGTTTTTGATGAAAAAAAATTTGAAATTGAAGATATGAATCCTGATGAACTGAAGATAGAACAAGAATTTTTTGATAAACTTGGAACTGTGGTTTTTGGAGAAGTAATCATCATTTGTAAAATTTAAAATTACTTATTTTTAATAAGGCATCTTACAAGTTGTAGTATAGTAAATTTACTTTTAAACTGTTAATCCTTAGCTTCATTAGTATTCATATTATAATGAATTAACCTATTATTAAATCATTATGGTTTATTTTATTTTCATATTTAAATTTTGAAGTGAGTTATAAATATTTTGCTAAATATATAACTAGCTTCAAAATTCAAACTTATAATACCAAAAAAATGCTCCAATAAATCCTTGTAAAATGTTTTTACTTATAGATATGATAGTAAGTAAATTAATTTTAATAAAAAAAAGTCTAATAAATTTTAACATAGACTACTAAGTATAAATTTACCATATTATGTTTTCTCTTAAAGAGAAACAAAAATGTGGAGAGACATCCTCTTCTTATAATAAGATGATATCTAATGATTGATCATGCAGCTCTTCAAAAGTGTTCTATATATTGTACAATATATAATAATATATTATACATATATAATACTTCTATTTAGTAAGATTACTGGTATAAAAGTTTTTCAATATTAGAATTATTATAATTTTACTTTTTCTTTAAAATATGATTTTTTTACAAATTTGAAAAACTGTCAATATTTAAATACTGAGTATATACTTTTTAGGCTTATGCAAATATGTTTAAACGTGCAGATCAAAATATTGTGGATGTTAAAAAAGAAGATTTCTTAAAAATCACTGATATGACACCAGTAAATGAAAATGGGCCTCCTAAAGTTTGTGCTAACATTGAACCAATTAAAACTAAAGAGATAAGTCCTAATAATGATACAGCTATACTTAATGATATGTATGAGCTAAATAATTGTAAACAAAAACTAAAGGAAAAAAGACGAAACATTTGCTTAACATGTAATACTAATATACGGTCAATTATTCCTGTATGTACTTGGCATGAAGATAGAAATAATATTTATTTAAAACTGCATATCCTTGAAATAGATAATTTCAATGTTGACTGTACAATGGAGGGTATTAAGTTTAAGTAAGATAATTTTTTGACGTATAAAAAAAGTATACATTTTTATATTTAAGTAAATGTTTTATTTACAGGTCTCAATTCAAAAATTTTTCGTATGAGTTTTGTGTTAGACTCTATGGTTTAATTCTTGATAAAAGTATAACTTATAGACATAATTATGAAGGATTCCATATCAAAGCTGAAAAATTGTACAAAACAGGTATAAATCATATTTATGTATAGGTTAGTGGTGAGTTAAATTAAGGTCCTATTAAAAAAAAAAAACATGCTACAAATTTTATTGACATTCAATATGATGCATTGACACTTTTGCACAATTTCCACGTTATTATAATTTTTAAGAAAACATCAATAATTTTTTAGCTTTAATTCTTTTTTTAATTTAACACTATTCCACTATTTATGCTCTGCACCTTTGTGTACTACATAAAATAAAATAATTTTAAAACCTACATTTATGATCTTATTTAATTTTAAAATAATGTGAACCAGTTCCCTAAAATGTTACAATTATTGTAAAATTATTGTAGTACAGGAACATAGAAGTATATCTAAAGGGTTCATCATATTACATATTATTGTCAGTAACTACCAATTTTATTTTATTTTACAAACTTAAGAAATTATTCTCATGAAACTAATGACTATWAACATTTAACAAATACGTTGTTTCCAATTATCCATAATATATCATTTAAAATGTAACTCTTATGTTATTGATTCCTAAGCTATCTTGCTTAGACTTCCTTAAAAACACCATTCTGTTATTGTAAGACAAGTGGATAAACTTAATTATGCCATTTTTATAACAGCTGGATGAGGAACAAATTTAGAAAAAATTTAATATAAGGTGAATTTTTTTAAATAGTTTTTTGTAATAATGACAATCTTCCTCTAGTTTATTTTTTAGTATATCAATCTTTCGCTGAATGTTGCATAACAACAATGAAATGTGCATAAAAAATTCACAATAAATAATTTAATTCAAATCGGAACACATATTATGCAGTAAAATAAGACATAACTTCATTTTTTCAAAGATTAAAATTAACCAAAATCATAGCAGAAATAATTAAAGATTTCCGACCTTTTTGATATTTCAACACTGTTTTTAAAACTACTTTTTACATGATATATCTAAAGTGGTTGATGGATCAGTTCAAATTCTGAATGTGTTTTTGTATGTATATGTTACATACTCTGGTAATGTAGTGATCATATATAAATAACACTTTGAAAAGAATATGATGAGAAGTCTTTTGCATATAAAATATATCTATCTGGTAAAATGTAATTGGAAATAATTTATTTTTGTTATAGAAAATTTCTGTTTTTAACACGTTGACTGCCATGCAGCCGCCGGCGGCCTCAGGAATATTTATCATGGGTACGCCAAAGACATTTTTCAGTGTCATTATAAATTTGTATTTGTATATATACTATTGAATTTGAAAAAAAATTAAAAATACAAAAAAAAATGTTAAAATTATGTTTATTACACCAAAAAAATTGCAACTATTCCCACTACGCCACAGCATATTTTCAAGATCATTATTGTAGCGCCATGGAAAAGTTAATAATATAAATCMAAATTTATTTACGGCAGCCCGCGGCCATATGGCCTCCTACGAATGATATAGTGTGGCAGACGGCAGTCTAAAAATTATCAATACCTAATTATTATTATATGGACGCCGGCGGCCGCATGGCAGTCAACGTGTTAAGAACTTAAAATTTTTCAATTGTCTTGTATAGTCTACTACTAGTTGGCATTTTTTTTTTTTTAGTACACACTTCTCGAATCCATAATATACACTTTCAAAATCAGGCAATTTACCGTGTTGTGGTTCACTAAAAAATAAGTCCTTGACTAAAACTCTATTAATACGTATCAAACTATGCTATTAAATCAAATTTTGTGACAAATTAAACCTTGACAAAATTACTTTATACCCAAAATTTCTAGAATTATTCATATACTTTATGATTATTTCTTTACTAAATAACCAGTATTATGTATTATTATTATCAATAAAATTTTTTTTTTAAATACAAATTTTAAAGCTTAGAATAATATTAGCACTTTAATTTTACTAAATTGTAATTTACTAGAGTTTGGCAATAAAATTGCAGTATTGACACTTTTACAGATTATAAATGGCCACAGTTATTTTTATGTCGAAAGTATCATACATACTTAAAATATGATACAGAACATATTGAAATCAAAGACTTTTCCTTCTGGACAAAAGGTATTATAAGTACTAGTAATTTTAGAAATAATAAATATAGTGCTAATGTATACATACTAAACAATTTAAAAAAATCAGTATTTTATTATATTTATTATTAATAGAATAAATGAAGTAAATTGCCCTCAGTAATTTAATCTGTTTTTTTTTCTTATAGAAATGAACAAGTTTAAAGTTATAGCCAAAGGTACTCCTCTGAACTCAATGAATGATGAATGTTCCAGTACAGACAGCTGTGATGACAGCGAAAATGAAGAACACTTTGATTATGATGATTTTATTGATTACTAATACAAGTTTTTATGTATTTTTATTTGAAAATTTACCAGTTTTTAAGTTATTTTAATATTGTACCTCGCCAAGTGACCAGTAAAATGCATACATATTTTTTTTTTTTTATTAATAAACTCATTAAATTAATATTATTTATCATTTTTTGTTTATTTATAAACAATAAATAATAGAGTTAGGATTGTTTCCTGAAAAGTGTTTTTGAGTTGCAGTTATTTTTAATGATTACAAGGAGTCAATCCCTTGATAAGCTATCTGGTGCTTTTGAGTTAGCGACAAACCTTTGCAAGTGCCTCCTCTTTTAAATAGATGGAAAACTCTCCTAAATTCTAAAATAGTATTTTATTTAGCTTATTCTATGAACAATTATTTATATGATGATCCATCTCAACTAACCACACCAAAATTGATTTCCATCTTTAAATTGATAGACAGTGATTTCCCCTATGTCCTAACAGCATTTTAACACTTTTTTCCCAAAACCAAGTCCGCACAAATTACCCAATGCCAATTAATTGATATTCAGAAAATTACTGCATTTCTTTGGTTACCTTCACATGTAAAGATAAAAGAAAATTAAGTGGCYGATAAAGAAGCCACCCTAGCTATTAAAAATTCCCCTAACACCACTAATAAAATATCATCCAATACCATCTCCATATTAGTCAAATTTAAATTCTTTTGTCATAGCAATACCATCGAGACTCCATTCCATTTGTTAACAAACTAAAATCCGCCAAAAGTTCATTAGACAGTGGTTACAACATCTCCAAATCTCAACCGACATCAACTTATTGCTATCACTGAAATAAGAATCAGTCACACTTCCGCTAAACACTCTTTCTTAATTAGCAAAGACTGCAGTAAATTGTAAATACCAAACTTCCATAATTATAATATAAACACTTAACTATTATATATTATATATATTGTGAGTATTATCCTTTTAATAATCACTATTATTTTAATACCGCCAGCAAAAAATCGTGATTTTCATGCAACTACTGGCCATTTTTATCAGGGGTCCCCCAATATTACTTTAAAGCGTAAAATATGTTCAAACAGTGATTAATAACAATTTAGTTACAATCGCGTCTCACTTTTCGATGACCATACTATATCTGTATTTTAATTTTGGCAAATGACCCTAGCAATTAAAAACTGAAACTTTTAAATAATAATAAAAAAAAATTGATAGACTAAAATATTTAATTTTCTTACTTAATAAAATCACATAATAATATATACAAACAATAAATAGTGGTTGTAAAATTCAGCTTAGTGGTAATCAGAACTAAAACTGATAAATCAACTTAGATAAACATGGTGTCATTATCTGAAATGGAATTCTTAATTGAAGCCATTTTAAGTGTATCTGTTAGTGTAACTGATGATTCAGTATCAATGGATCTGACAGAATCTATATTAGCTACAAAATTTTGATTATCCAGATTTCCTTCCAAAATATTTCTAAGTGCAAATAAACTCCATTCTCGCATCACTGAAACAAAAAGTAAATGGTTCATCAATAATAATAGATTTGCATTCATATTTGTATTAAGAGGATGTCAGCGCACTATTTGTTTTCTCTCTCTGACCCACGCGTAATATAGACAAAACACATTTACGAAGAATCATTTTTTCTGTCTTTAAGTAATTTTAGAGTAAAACCTTCCATTACAAAAAAGWTAAAGAATAATATTTTTGAGGGAATGACATTGATTTTATATTTTATTGATATTTGACTTTCAAAATAAACAAAAAAACACTGTACATTTAAATAATGTTTAAATTATTAAGAGACAATATTTAAACAAATCGATATGTCATTCCCTCAAAAATATTATTTTCTATCTTTTTTGTAATGGGAGGTTTTACTCTAAAATTACTTCAAGATATAGAAAAAATGATTCTGCGTATATGCGTTTTGTCTATGTTACGAGTGAGCCAGAAAGAAAAAACAAATAGTGCGCTGACATCCTCTTAATGTATAATTGGTTTTCGTAAATTTTTATAGTAAATATACTGATTAACTCTGTATATTACTTATTATAATAATCCATAGAATTTGTTATCAAATTTATTCTTGACCAAAAACAGTGTAAAGGAATCTAATACTTTGCCTAATATTAAACATAATAATAGATGAAACTTACAGGGATTTTTAGCATCAAATGAACAACATTCCAACAGTATGGGAATAATATTGTMAGTACGCATCTGTAAAAGAATTTAAACTATGAAATTATAAGTTAAGGTTATTGAAGCTCGAGCTACAATATGATATACTTACTAGGTTTTGATGTTCTTGGTGATTATAACACATGTTTGCTATCAATCGTATTAGATCTGATTTGAACCAAAATCTATTATGTGTTTGTATATCTGAATCAAATAAAACTGACAAATCCTTCACACGACTAAATTCATTGTTTAAACCGTCATTATCATTGGCACGCTTATGTATGAATACCAACAAATCTAAAATACAATGTTAATTATTTATCAATCACACAACATTACAAATCATGTTTTATTACAATGAAACAATTTCATACCCATGATTTTTTTTAATAGAGTAGTGTCTTTTTTGATTTCAGAATTAAATTTTTCTATATTTGAAGCCTTAGCGATAACATTCACTACATGAGATGTTATTTTTTCTATGGCACAATCAATAAAAAAATTGTTTTTTATCACAACAATGACATCTATAGATACTTCTTCACTATAATGATCAAGCCAAATGCAAATAATGTYCATTAATTGATCTTTAGAAGTATCAGGAAGATTTTTATAGACTAATAAAAAATCTTTTGAATTTGAGAAGATTGAATCTAAAAATATTTTACTGAAAAAAAAAAAATTTTTAGTTAATTTACTCTGATAATCAATAGGTATTTAGGTATTATACAGATATAATAATTGTAGTGTAACATTATTCTAATATTATTAAAATATAATCACAAATTATTGTTAAGGCAATAAGAAGTTATTGAAAGATTCATTGAAAATTGCAATTGTTTTGTTTAAATAAATTATATATTATATATTATATTATACATATTTTACCTATATTCTATTTCATTTTGAGTCCAATGAGTCATAATTTGTTGAATTATAATAATGTTTTTTAAGATCTCTGATCTGAAGTTGACATCACACAAACACAAGTTATACAGCAGCATCATTGAATTGTTCAATAGTTTGGAATCTCCAGAAGATAAAATAAAATGTCTAAAAACAATAACAAAAATATTTAGGATTCAATGTGAATGATATATAAATAAATAATTGCATCAATGTATTAACAAATATGTTTGAGAGGTTAGAATGTACATTACATACAACTATGTATGTGGTTACAGATAAAACAATGTACCTTAATATGCCACAGAAACCTCCAAATATCTGGCGTTGAGCACTTTCGTGACCCACTGAGAAGTTGGCCAAAAACTGTAACAATACACTTTGACTCAACGGCTCATTGGCAAAAAAATTGTCACAATACCAAGAACAGGTTTCAATCAGTCCTGAATCTAACAGTTGACACTTGCTACTGTCGTCAAGACGAGGCGAATTGTTCCGAAGCCAACGAAAAGTGTTTGTTATGTTTTTTATCTCATCAGTGTCTGGACTTCCAGACATTTTTCTGGATTTCAGACCCATAACTTGGCACACAAATTCTTGTACATCATTATTTTGTTGACCTGCAGCTGACATCGTTTTGTTTGTCTTTAAAGTCACAAACAGAAAATTTTATAAATTATAATATTATTGAAGTTATTAATCTAGGTAAGTAATAATGATGAAGGGTTTTACAAACATTCAGTTATTTCAACCAAAATTTGGCAATATATAGTCAATCATACCGATGAGATTTATAAGGTGATTAGACTTCTTAAAACTGATTTTAATTTGTTAGGTAATGTATCTTCTTGAAATCAATCGGGCCATTTTTTAAAACCTTGACTAGGTATATTTTAGATATTGATAATCATAAATTTAAATCAATTAATATCTTTAAAGTTAAAATGCATCTAGATAGATCTCAATTAGTCAAATTAATGATACTCGTCTAATATACTCCCTACCATAAAATGGTATCTACCAAAAAACTGTATGCGTGTAGTACCTATGCTACATACCGTGGTTATTTTTATTTTATTTCATTTTATTACAGGAAATTACATTTGAGTCATTAAGCTAAATAACATATTATAGTAGTTTTACAAAATTATATCTTAATAGCCATTATGATATCTGATCTACCAAGACCCATGTTAACTTACTGTTAGATATATTAATTTAGCCTATATTGTGTCTGTGTTATGTTCGTGAAGTGTCCTATTCGTTACAAGTTTTACTTTTTATTTTTTTATTTTAAAATAAACAAAAATGAATAAATCAATGCACTATTTGTCCGGGCATATAATATAATGTAATGAGGAAAATATATTGTGTTAATTATCTTCACAAGAGAAACTTGCACCCAGAACTTGGTAGTTGTTCCAAATTAAAATATGATGTTATTTGTAGCGGTACGTTGAAAGAATATCAAAAAAWAAAAATAAATTGTTGTTAATTTGTTATTATTTTATGGTAGGTAGCATACTAAACCAACGAAGTAACGGTAGGTAGCATATTAGACGAGTACCAAATTAACAAATTCAAATCAGTTTTCATGAGTCTTATTGTGATATCTGGTCCATCGGTAGGATTAACAAAAAGTGCATATTGAAGTTATATTCTATTAAAATTTAAATGACTATATGTGTGTAATGTGCATTTACCTGCTGTAGGATTAAATCAATTGAATAGATTAGTGTTGTTGTTTTGAGTAGCGAGTGAGTATGAACATTTAATTACTTTGATTCCGTGTGAGTGTGCAACTGTTAGTCGGTTGTCGGTAACACAATTTTTAAATATTTCAATGTTTATTTGTGCTTAAATTTGGAAAACAAAAAGGTATTATCTATACAATATTTTGCTCAATGATCATTAATCATTTGACTATTGAGTATTGAGTACCTGTTGACTATACTACGACTATTATACTTATCTATGCTACGACTATTTACTATTTAGTATTTGACTATTTCAATTTTCAAAAACGATTTACGATTATAGTGGTGATTATTCCCATAGAATAATAACTACCCTACTATCAAATATCAATTTATTCACCAGCTTGTCCGGCTTGTCCAGTACCAAACGTCATCTAAACTAGTCGCAAGTCGCAACAAGTTAGGACTTGGGTTAATTTTTTGGACTTTTTACCTCGGACTTAGAACATGGTACATTGGTACCAGAATATATAATACCACGGTCGTATATAGTTATATAAGACCATGCATAATACATAATATTAATATGTATTATCATTTATCTATGTGCACCATTATCAAAGATTATGACGTTGTGTGATAATAGTGATGTTTAACAAAAAATAAATAATATTTTATATTGTTGTTCTGTGATAATGTGGATAAAATAGTCCTTAGATCATAATTATTATTAATAATCAAATTACATAATTGTACTTATATTAGTATATTATTATGATTTAAGACTTAAGATAATAATAAAATGTATGTTACTCATAGAGTCATATTATATAGATAGTAATTAATTTATAAAATATTATGTATTACAATTACTGCGTATGGTTCTATGGTTAATGATTCGATATTATATTATAATTGTAATAATTGTATTCATATGTTTTTATCTATTATCTATATGAATAACATTTCCTATTAAAATACTCCTGTCTTTATTTTATGCAAATTTTAGTAATTTTTTTGATACTATTTGTGATTATACTGATTATCAAAGTTCGGTAGTCGTTACTCGTTACACGTTACTCGCTAGACACTAATCGCTCAGTCATTCGCTCGCTAGTGTTCTCACCTTCACTGTTCACTAATCACTTGTCAACGATTATCATACGTAAAATATATTATAATATTAATACCACACATCGTTTAAATTTTACTCGTTATTAACTTATATTATATGAATTACTATGTACTTGTTTACGTGTTGGATGACTCAAATGTTGAATAATCATATTTGAGAGAAGTCTCAAAGTAGACACACGAGCTTACTTATCCGAACAAGAGTATCTGCCGTTCGTTTTGTCCCAAAAATGTCACGACGTATCTTAGTTACGTCAGAACCGCCTTTAAATGTTGATCCTTATTGTTTTCACTCGTTTCTATCCCACTCTAACAGAATGGATAGAGACAAAGAATACTTGAACATTCGCTTCACCGAAACTATTAATGTAATCAAAATGGATGGAATCGTCGATACAGATTTTTTAATTAACAGGGTATTATTGATTTCAGTTGATAGCTATATCTGTTCAATAATCCCTTGTCTTCTTCCCCATTTAGACTTACCCCAGCCAATTTGATCAGCAGTTTAMGCTGCTAATAGAGGCCAGCTTGAATGACCAAATAAAAATTGTGAAAGAATTGTTCAATAGATTCAATGTCGCAGTGGACAAAACAGGAGATGTAGTGAATTTTGGTTCACTTGTCAAAGGAGTTACAGCGCTTTGGTGTGCGGCTGGTCAGTATTTTATTTCAGTTATTATTTTATCCATAGACATTTACATTATATTATTAAATTAAAATTATACAATAATAATTAGACTAGTAATAAATACCTCAATTTCACTCTTACTAGTTTAAACATAGTATGTGAAGTTTGATCCTCGCTTTTAACATTTAGAAATTTATATTATTATCATATTTATTGTACTTATAAATTTTGTGTTCTATATAATATTTGTTTTTATGCATACAAAATAAATCATATATAGTTTTTGATTAGTCTCAGTAGAATAGGTTATACGATCATCTAACATACAACATACTTGCTCTTATTTATCACAATTCACAAACTAATTTATATTTTTGAATTTCTAGGAACTGGGTCCATGGAAATAGTGAAAATTCTTGTTGAGAAAGGTGCAAATGTTAACTTTCTTACTGAAACTAAGTCGTCTCCATTACGAGCGGCTTGTTATTTAGGAGATCTAAATATTGTTGAATATTTGGTTGAACATGGAGCAAATATTAATTTAACCAATATATACAATAGTACATGTCTGATGATTGCTTCTCATAATAGTTAGTATATATAATCGTATTGTTACATTTAAACATACAAATATGAAACATCTTTTAATATTTCATTTAAATTGTATTATTTTCTAAGAAACCATTTTAAGAAAACTCTCAAGACTGCTAAAAAAAAGTCTCCTTGTGTCTAATAAAATTAACTAAAACATTAAAATGTATTTAATTTACTCATATTAGATCTATAGTCAATTTTACAATATTTACGTAGAACTAAAAGATTAAATTAAATATTATATTAGAATTATTTGTACATGCATTTTTTCTACTTATCAATATGTTATTTTATTTATATATTTAATTAGTAAAATATTGTTTTAATCTAGATCACAAAGAAGTTGTTGAATATTTGTTGAGAAAGGGAGCGGATATTAATGTACAAACTAATTGTGGATCTACTGCCATGCACTTTGCAGCACAAGCTGATAATTTGGAAGTTGCTAAACTACTTATAGAATTTAATGCTCAACAACTGAAAAATCATCAATGTGTGTATATAATTTGATTTTTTAAATTATTAGTTTAAATATTTTTTTTCCTAGCTCTGACTCCTATTTTGGTGGCAGCCGAAAGAACACATCATAATTTTGTATATTGTCTCATTAATGAGATGAGTTTATTGAATTTGACTCGGGAAGAGAAGATAGAGGCTGAAGAGTTACTAGGTGCTTCATTTTTGAATGATAAAGATCATTATGATTTACGTCTGGGATATAATATTCTAGTTCGAGCAATGAAAAGGCGGTATGAAATTTAATTTGTATATTATAATATTATTTATTAATACTAACAGTATTCTATTTATGGTTTAATTGTTCAATTGAGATTTATCTAACTTGTAACTACTCTTGATGGTAAAATTTTAAGTAATACTCAATTGTAACTGTAAGAACAAACGTAAGATGTTGCGAATTAACCCCAAAACATATGAGTCAAATTTTAAAAACTCATTTAATGAAATCTAAACAAATACAAATTGTATATAGTTAAATTTATCATGGTTACATAGATACTAGTGTTTAATTTTTGTAAAGTATGTAGGTATAATGGGTAACATTTACCCAGGTTTTGAGGGTCCTTAAATGTTATAAAAAAAACGTACCTACTGTATATTATTGTAAACATTAAACAAAATAGTAAATATTGTGTATAATTTTAGGTATGAGATGCATCCAATTATAAAGAAAAAAGTTAACAAAACAATCGAATGTTACAAATACAGAGTTGAATGTCAAACCATGCAAGAATTATTAAATATAAAAGATAATGCTGAAGCCATACATTTTGAATCACTAATAATTAGGTTTGTATTGTTTATTGTGAACAATTTGGTATTTATTATTTATATTCCATTTTTTTTATCTTCATAACCTACTATAGAAAAAACAAGTAATACTTCTAASAGAAATAAACTATTCGATAGCAGAGATTGTGAAAAAAGGAAGGTTGACATGTTGAGTGCCAATAAAAAGAATATTAAAATTAGAGATAATTGTCTAAATGGCATTACCATTGTGGTTGTTGCCAACATTCATTGCAGGATTGTGAACATGAGTGTAACCCTTAAATTGGGTTTGTTGTCTTCTAAGGACTATGTTGTTGTGAGATATTATCTAGAAGTTAAAGTGAGAGCTCGGACCTTWGACCAGATGTTGGGCGGTTTTAATATTCATTGCTTATGAGTTCCTTGGTGCCTGAAAAATCAATTAAAGTTTATTAGAGGATCCATGGCAATTTAACTTATTTKAACAGACTGGTAGGCGGTTTTAACAATATTACATTAACCGTCAAACTGTTTGGAACTAATATGGTGGAATTTCGGCATGAAAAAGAGTTGACCAAGCAAAAGCCACATAAGAAGGCATTGCAATAGCTTTACTCGAAAAATAGATGATAGATCCACAATTATCAATTGAATGCTTCTCACATTCTACTGAAGTATAATACAATTAGAAGAGTTGACTAAAGATTATAATTCAACCATGATTTTATTGAAATTAAGGTATTTGCTGTACAATTCAATTTTTCAGTAYTTTTTTTCATATTATATAATTACAGCATCTTTGGTAAAAAAAAATTATTTTAGAGCCTATATTCATCATTAATCTATATATCTAAAACAGGTAAAACAGAATTGACCAAGTTTGCCTTTAATTTAACAGTTTGTAATTTTTGAGTAAGATAATATGACATTGTTAAATTATTTACACACCTCCTACTCTAGCATAATTTAGTAATTATTTTAATAAGTATTACTTCATGATTGAAACTACAGATTTTTTTAATAGATAATGAATATATTTAGTTTGGTGAAGACTATAATAAAAAACTGCAATATAACAAACAAAAAAATTAAAATAAATACATTTTTATTTAACATATGTTTTGTTTACTTATGTTTATTATTTTAGAGAACGAATTTTAGGTGAAAACAGTCCAGATTTATTGCAATCAATCATATACCGTGGTGCTGTTTATGCAGATGCGCAAAATTTTACACCATGTATACTTCTCTGGAATCATGCCTTAAAAATAGCTAATCATAATAAACATAGCATCCATAGAGATCTTTTACGATTCACACAGGTAACATTTTAAACTTAATTCAGAGCAGAATCTTAAACAGAAATTCAAAACCCTACATAACGCATTTTATCTAATTTAAAAAATATTCTATTCTATTATTATCTATTGTTTCACAAATTTTAATGGTAATCAAAGTAATAATAAAATAGTAATAATAATCAGTGGTGTAAACTGGGGGTCGCAAAGGTAGTGTATTACGACCCCAAGAATTTCTGAAATATTACAATTATAAATGAAAAGTTTTTTGATATAATAATTAGTAGGTAACAATTTATAATTTGGTTTCAATTAAAATTATTTAAGATGAACTCATATTTTGAGAACCCATGAGAACAGTATTTTACGTATTTGAATAATCAGATTTCACACCATAGCCGGCATATTATTGTCTATTTTTAGTTTTTCTCAATAGTCAATAATATTATTACGTTATGTATTTTGTTTACCGCTAGGATTAGAACTAGTAGATTATATATTTATTTTATAGAGTAATATAGAAAGGTGTTTTTCTAACTAAAACAATATGATTTAGAGCTTCTGTTTCCATTAATGTTTTAGTTATACTTATAATGTTAAATTTGTATACTACCATTCTTAATGTAAATTTTTTCTCAGGTGTTTTGTCAAATGATTAAAAATAATACTAAAATCAAATTATCAGATTTAAAGAATATTTTACAATCTGCATATGATGAATTAATTATTATTAAAAAAAGATTGTCTGAACCTGATCATTCATCTGAAAAAAAATTACCAAAGGTAAAATATTATTAAATTACAAATATTAACGACATTATAATTAGATACTTACATATTATTCAGACTATCTATATAGGTTGATTGAGAATTTTATTTACCAGACTACCGTGTACCATATTATTTGAACTGCCGCTATTTTTGTATATTTAAATATATTAATTTAAAAATGCAATAGAAAGAGAGAGAATATTTAATGGAAAAAAGCGGGTAAGTGGATGTCGCTCTGCAGTACATTAGGTGGTGGGGTGGACCTAGGGTAGGTTAGATTTGAATGCAATGATAGGTCATAGGTATCATTGTACACGAAAAACGATTCTGAACGGAGATGATTTGTCAGTCTAGGATATATTATATTTAAATATTGTCATATATTCTATT